ATGCATGATATTTGGCATGAAATGAACATCAATTTTATTCATTTACTCTAGGGCAGAACCTATTCAGATTTCAGTTTTTCTTCCTCCTCTCTTCAACTACTTTTTTTTATATATTACTTCTTTAGACAAGGGATAGAACAGGACACAAAACCTGAGGCGCTTTTGTTTCCCTTTTTAGTGAAAAACTGGAGAATTCTCATTAAAATGCACAGGTCTTAGAAATTAATCCTTCATTACTGAAAGGTTTTATGAACAACAGCAACTAAAATGCCTGAGTAGCTCTACATATTTTCCTACTTTAAGACTGGTCCTTCCTAGTCTGTGCTCAGCATTTTAGTGTCACCCTCTGTTTCTGCAGCCCATCTAAAATTAGATCATAAGCTCTCCAGGGCAAGGACTGTCTTTTTATGTTCTCCATACAGTGCCTATCACCCTTTAAACGCTTGACAAATAATCAACAATAATGAAAGGCTATTATTTTTCTATTTTCACATTTCAAAAATCTCTCCCGCAGTATTACCAAAACAACGTGGATGGCAGAGGTGATGCAGACAGCCCGCTTTACTCACTAGACACACCAGATGTTTTGCCTGTACGATTCGCACCCTGCTTCTGCCGTTTTCTGCATTGTTTATAAATCTCTACTGTTTTCAACCACCGTATCAGTATTTCTTGCCTAGTTAGCCTCTGAACCCCTGTTTCCATAAGGAAAAAACTGAGAAACAGGCAGCCCTTACAGTCCCCACCATTGCACCCATCGCCCTTATGGGTCCCTACTGTATGAGTCACTGCCCTAACGATAGCTAAGCATATTACTGCCTCGAAAATTAACGCACACTGTGAATAATCACAGAAAGGAAATTTGTTTTGCTACAAGGTTGGTTTTCCAGCTGTTTTAATGCAGACAATTTTATCCTGAAACACAAATGGGGGGGGGAGAAAGAAAAAGACTTTGAAAATCTACATAATTTGAAAGTGCTTAATGTAAATTAGATAGATCAGCTTAATTTTATTTCAGTACTTTTTAATTGCATTTATAATTAGTAAAATACATTAATGTGCTGCACAGAAGGTCAGGAGTTCTGGTGAAAGAATCTAATTAAAATGCTCCGCTGCATTTATGTCACCCATGCGCTCGGTAACCTTGAGGCCTTCCTGCAGCACCAGAGGAGCCTTCTGCACTTCTCTGATTTGCAACTTCCTTAGTCTCCATCAGAAAAGGCACGACCATCCGAGAGCAGCCCACGGCACGTAGGCACTCTGATCTCCCGCCTGACCTGCGTACCTGCTCCAATCGCAACAGTTCGGTCCATGCCATGCTCTACTTTTTCATGACGATCAATAAACAAAACCAGGGTGGTTCCCTTTATAACAAAGACTCTTGGATACCCACCCGCTGCCCAGTCTTTCCTCTTAGCAGTCCCGAATCAAATTGCACAACACACAATTGACAGGCAGAAAAAGAGCTGAGGTTGCTGCCAGGCAGCGATCTGAGCACACGCGCCGTCAGGTATTTATCCTGACGCTCGAATCCACCAGCAGCCTGTATTTTTAAAAAGTTTGTTTTTTTAAAAAAAAAAAAGCTTACAGCAATAATCAGCGAGCAATAATTAGTGATGCTAATTTTTCTACTTAGAACTCATATTGTGTGATTTTATTACATTTAAATTACACACGCTCAGGTGTTCCCATGCTTTCCTTTCATCCCCCTCTTAGGTGGTAAAACATCATTAACATCCTTCTAGCACGGGAACAACTGCTCGGGGAGATCAGAGATCGCTGCCTCACTGAGCTCTACGTGTGCTTCTGCTACAGTCCTGAGCACAAGCCGTCAGCGCCTACCATTTAGTATTTAGTTTAGCATTTAAGAGACCCCTTTAGTATCATCCGCACGCCATCCTTCCAGCTTTTATCTGGACGAATAACATAACTTTCAAGTTTTGGAATCACTGAAATTGTAAATTCCTAAAACTTTACCAAAAAACAAACAACATTCAATCCTGACTTTTGTAACCTCCCCCACTTGCGGTAGAGCAGCCATCAACTCCTGTGGCAACTTCAGCAATAGCACTGAGGCAAAACAGGCATAAGGCAGCTCCCTCTCTCACTGCCTACTTCTACCTGCTGGGATTGAAGGGATTAAGTCTGTTCTGAACTAGAAGAACGGCAAAAAGCCACTGTTGGCGTGCTCAGGGTGGCATGACCAAACTATTAAAAAAGCCCCCTGCCGACAGGACAGAGTCGGCTCAAATGACCAGTTAGTTTGACATAAACTTTTAAGAACTGGCAGCGAAGAGCGGAGACGAGGTGACTGGGCAACGAAGAGTTCCCACGTGAAGAGACTGTGGAAGGGGAGCTCTGATCGCGGAGCAGGGGAGAGGGGTAAGACACCTCGAGAGCTGTGGAGCGGGCACAGAAGGGACATTGCCTACATGGACTCATTTAAGCTTTTCTTCCCGCTCTAACTTTAAATACTATATTAGAGCTGCCTGATAAGTACTGGCTTGTTTTGAAATATCTGTCCCAAATTGCTGACAATACTGTCAACCATCTCTCTTCCTCTTGGTGTCTGGCATCTACCAGGGGATGAACCTCATTTAGATTGCACAGTGCAACGAGGCAACACTGAAGCCGATGGCCCCAACTCAAAACAGTTCAGCTTGACACCCTCCATGCCCAGAAATGGGAGCTAAGCACCAGTCCTGCTGAGACAACAGCCCCAGGAGGCACAGCAAGGTGGGACGCAGAGCTGGCCACGTTTTACCCCCAAAGCCCTGCACTTCACTGACTCAGCCCCACTCAGCCCCACCGCTGCGTGGTGCCTGCAGAGCTGCAAGCCCAGGCACTGCATGAAATCCTCCCCTAATCCGCTTAAAATCGTAGCTCACCTGAGAATCAGGTATCTACCAAAAGTAATTAGCAGTGCTGAGGACCTGTGGCTAGAAGGCAGCAGAAATGTGTTACTCAAAGTAACGGCTCATTTCCCCTAAGCTAAATATTTTCGGTTGCTGCCTGCGTCTCAAGACAGCTAATCTGGGAATGGGGTGGAAGCTGGGGCCAATAACCAACATAAACATGCACTGGAAATTAAATTTCTTTGGACAATAGGAACAAAACTTTTTTCTTAGCAATTGACCACTTTTTTCTAGCTGGCTATATAATCTAAAATGGCAAAGGACAAATTTTTTAAAAGCATATTATTTGACCATGTATAATGAAAAGTGCAAAACTATACCGATAATGCTATTAATCCTTATTCCTTAGGCGATGGAGTAACAAATAATCAATGCCTTTTCTAAAATTGTTTATACAGTACAGTTTAGCATTACATACATCTGAGATGGACACAAAAGAGCAGATATTCAAATACAGTTTACCTTGTTTTCAGCTATTCAGAATTATTGTACCTTGCAAGTCAGTCCTATACAGAAGTGTTGATCGGGTCTGCAATTCCAAGACAGAAGAAATACTTAAAAATAAGTGAAATTCAGTTATATAACCTTCTTAAAAGTATTGAACACTACTCTCAGGTGAACTAATCAGAACTGCACACGTTTATTCCTAGTAAAGACTGTTAAGGTAGTTCAGATAAAAGTGAAAGCTGACCTCAAGCAAAAAAATCAAATCCAGGCATAAATTCTCTGAAAACTGTTAAGGTAGTTCAGATAAAAGTGAGAGCTGACCTCAAGCAAAAAATCAAATCCAGGCATAAACTCTCTGAATGAAAGTTTAAAAAAGTCACATAATTCAAACAAACACAATTTTGCTCCTTTTCATTAGGTTTAAAAACATAAACATAAGGCAAATACAGATTATTGTCTCATGAAACACTAAGGGTGCTAAAAACCATCCACAATGCACTGAAATTTTGCAAGACTATTTTCATGGGAATCTAGCTCAGAAAGACAGATACATTAAAAAAACCCCACACAATTAGTTTCTCTAATCTGAACCAAGCTGATCACTTTCCACAGATGCTACATAAATAAATGAATAAATGAAATGCTCTCTCACAGAGAGCAGCTACAAAGGCTTACAAGACAGCAAAGGAAGAGAAAATACCAGAGTGGACAAACAAACCCCAAAACCTGGACATCAGGATCCATAATAAACACAGAAGGACTAATATGAAAAATAAAATCTGACAGATGTATAATATTTCGTCATTTTTTCTAACGATCCAGACTGGAATTCGGAGCACTATTGTTTCGGTTATAATCTAGGTGCCAATTTCTCATTACACATGCAGGCTCCAGGTCAATGGTACAACTAATGAGTAGCTGCTGGTGCAAACGCTTATTGTTTCTTAGCCTAATTCAAGTAAAATTTAAATGGTCTATTAATTTTCTTAATAAATTTAGACATGGTGCCTGACTGCAATCTGTCTTTGATTAGCTAACAAAAGTGTAGGAAGATCTTGCCAAGCTGATGGTTCACAATGTTTCAAGCAAGTCGTCATCTACATAATAAAAAAAATCCGGTAATTTCTCTGTCGTAAAGGCTTTAAGAAAAGGTGCAATGCATGGTTTTAGTCTACACAGGGTTCCCAGCCCTCTTTCATTTAGAATTGTCAAAAATGAGTAATTTTACTACTGTTGAGAAGTCTCCAATAAGCAAGTATGTTCTTGACTAGGAGTACAATTCAGTAGCATATTTGAGCGTGTGGCTAATTTTAAAGACTCTTTAATCTTTTCATCCAATGACATTCAATTATTTGCTCAGATCTCTTACTAAATCGGAATTGCTTATAGCCCATTCCTAAAAAAAACTGTGTTCACTGCTGCCCAGCTGACTGGTGGGCAGGTCCACTGCCATATGGTGCGTAGCGCAGAGTCACCCACACAAGACAAGGCTCCCTTCTGCCGACTTTGGACATCCATAGTTTTTAGAGCCCCTTAATACTCAAATCAAGAGAAACATGGATATTCAAAGAACAGATCATCTAACCTGTTTTAGACGTGTGGCTCAAGGGAAGTTAGGCAAAAGCCTCAACTGACTATGAAAAGAAGTGTAAGCAGCAGCTCAGCTGTAGATGTATATACATGCAATATCCACATCGATGAATCTTTCGCAAGATTTACATAGCGCACCACTGAAAGGACGACCGCATCTATATAAAAAGACTGCAAATATAGGCTGTTATTCAGTGTTTTGCAGTATTTTTAAGCAGCAATCCAGAACTGACTAGAAACAAATGAGCAATGGGGTATACCCCACCAACAAACACGCCTGCATACATCTGTATTAACAACGCCTAAAAAACGTCCTCATTCAAAAACTTACAAATAGCAAAGAAAGCTCTGACCCAGCCAGTAGGACACCTTCAAACTGCTCTGTCCCCGAGAGGTCCAACAACTTCTGAAATGGTCTGAGGATGCTTCAGAGAGGAGAGGACTGCAATCCAGGTTAATCACACTGGCTGGGAACTTTTTTGCAGCTGATGACAACATCCTCCCTTCTCCCCTCACTGTGAACAGGTATGGAAGTGTGCACTAGTGCACTACACATCAAATCCTTTTATAATAATAATTGCATAGCTGACCGAAAATATCACACTGTTCTTCAGAGAGAAATGAAAGGTTCCCATATGAATGGCTTCATCCCATAGGAATGAATTCTGGTTAACCAAAATCCCAAGATAAAAAAGAACTAACTTCCATTCATTTCTAGGAGACTGTTAATCACCTGCAACCAGAAACAACACGGATTTCTGTTATATGCTAGGACTAATCAAAGAAATACCTGAAGAGCAAAAAGGACCTGGATGAGTTACAGCTGATGCAACAGGGAGTATTTGGAACTGGCAGACTGAGGCCACACAACAGCTATTACTTAAGATGCACCAAGCATGTTACTGAGGTAAGTAAGCAGAAATATTAATTGTATTGTACAAGGCATAAGTAAAATTTCTTGTTGATTACTGCAAACAATTCAGAGAGAAACATGAACTGAAATTGGAAAAGGTATTTAAAAAACCCATATCAGAGTGATCCGGGCAAGGAGGGCTTCCATGCGAGAGACGAGCTGAGTGTGTTCACTCCAGCATACAAAAGCTCAGAGGCGATACAGCTGCCAAGGAGAGAGCTACCTGAGAACGGTACAGGTTGGAGAAGGAGAAAAGCTATTTAATTTAAAGGACATTGTTTGCATAAAAACAGGTAGATATAAACAGTCAGTCAATAGATTCAGGCTTACTAAGAGAAAGTTTCTAGCCATCAGAGGAGTAAGCCTCTGAAATAGCCTTCCAGAAGCAGCAAAGGGTGGAGTCTGGGAACTTTATAAATACGTGATGTTCACCTGAGACCACAGGACTAGAGCCTTTTCCATTCTATCTCTGCATACCAGCTCAGTTTCTAAAGACGATTAAACATAAACCCAAGGTAGCAGGAGTCAGGGAGATAACCTGAGTCTTGTACAAGTAATAGATTTATCTCCCTGGTCCCTGAGCATGTACACAGGGGACCAAAGATTTAGTGGTACCCATAAAGAGGCCAGTGCAAAATTTTTATCTCTGTTCACAGAGCATCTAGCCTCCTTTAAAGGAGATCAGAACAAATTATTCCTGTGCTATATTGCAAAGCTGAAAAATCCCCTAATTACTAATGTAAATTATTCAAATGTCATCTGTATTATTCATTGAGAAAAATCTGCACTAAGAGGAAAATGATGATTTCACTGCAAATCCAAACAACTCAAGGAAGTGAATTTCTAAGGATAAAAAACATTCAGCTTTCCTCGGTGCAGTAGTACTGAAGTTCACAGGAAAATAAATGTTTCTCAGTATTAATGATCTCTGAAATGTTTTTTGTTTTGTTTTGAACATTTTAATTACAGTTGGCAACTCTGAGTCTACTGCTGGTGAACATAATCAAAACTGAAAACCAATTAAACGATATATTCTGTGCCACTGGATAGCATTATGGGATCCCAGTACAAAAGACAACTAACCAGCATAATTTTTTATTGCATAAATAATATTGCAGCCCTCTTTGCAGTAAACAGGTCAGAACTTTTGAACTAGGTCTCAACACCATCCCAACTGTTTATAAAATCTTACCATTCATCAGTCTAATTTCTTGCATCAATCAGTTGTTGCCATCATGTATAAATATATTTGTACATCAGAAATCATGTAGGCCCTTTTGTGTGTTAAGAGCTGCATATAGCACTGGATAACATCAAGTTGTATTGGTCACAGAAAGTCCCATATGGAATAACATTATAGATTCCTGAGTGCCATCTACTGGCACTTCATCTGTTAACTAGACCTCATAGAAACAGCCCCATCATACCAAGATTTCTCATATATGTATAGTTATTTGCATTCCACTTTAGGATAGACTTCGGCAGCATCGATACTTTTTTTCCATAATATGAAGTTTAAAGGAATTTTAATCTATACATTCTCCATTTTGGTGTATTTACTTGAAATGAAATGTTGTGACACTGTCTACTCAGAAATACTTCTCACTGTCAAAATGAACTGAAATGTTTCACTTAGTCTTAGTTTAAGATTGAAATCTGTCTTCCCGAACTGATTTGCTGGCTTATAGAAGTGAATCATATACCTATTCTCTTATACAAGCAACAGCTCTCCATTGACACTACAGACACCATGATGTGTCATGAGCACATTTCCTGGCATAGTGTGATGGTTCACGCAAAGTATATCCAGGTAAGGAGCCTGGAGTGTAAACTGGACATATGAATTGTAGCGCTTACAACCTGTGTGGACAAACATCAAGGTAAATAACATTTGGCTTATTCAGGGAAATGGTAGGCAGGATCTGAGGCAGCTCTGAAGGGCAAAGAAGCCCGAAGTAGCTTGCAAGTCTTTAAGGACAAACCTCTCCGAAAACAGGAAAAGCCCATTCTGATATTCGGGAAAAAGCATAAATGTATCAGCAGGTTGACTTGGCTAAGCAGGAAACTCGTGACTGATCTCCAGTGAAATAGGGTGTATACCAGAGGTGGAAGCAAGAACAAGCCACAGAGGAGGAACACAGAAACATTGCTCAAGTGTGCAAGGTTGGGGGTAGGAAAGACAAGACTGGAAATACTCAGTATGGACTTACAAAGGTAAGTCATGCCTGATCAAACTGATTGCCTTCGGTGGCAACATGACTAGGTCTGCGGATGAGGGGGGGAGCAGTAGATGTTGTTTACCTTGACTTCAGCCAGGCCTTTGACGCTGTCTCCCACAGCATCCTTGTATCCAAGTTGGGACATTACAGTCTAAATGGGTGGCAACTAGAAGGCTCCCAACCCAGGGTGGACTAAGCCTGTCAAGATACAAGCAGGGGACCAGCTGGCTGGGTAGCAGCTCCGCTGAAAAAGATGGGGAGCCTGGTGGGCAGAAGGCTAAACACGAGCCAGCAGCGTGGCCTGGCAGTGGTAAAGGCTGAACAGCAGCCTGGGCTGTACCAACATGAGCATAGCCAGCAGATCAAGGGAAATTATTATTCTCCTTTATTTGGCACTCATTAGACCACACCTAGAATGCTGTGTCCGATTTTTAGTTCCTTCAGTACAACAAAGGTGTAGAGCAACTTAAGCGAGTCCAAAAGAGGACCACCAAGGCGGTTAGGGGTTAGAGCACATGAGGAGGGGCTGCGGGAACTGGGTTTGTTTTACCTAGAGAAGAGAAGGCTCAAGGGAGCCTAGCAGAAACCTTCAAAACTGAAGAAGTTACCAAGAAGATGGAGCTTCACAGTGGCGCATGCTAGGTATGTAGATGTAGAGAAAATGGTCATAAATTCAAAATGGAGAAGGTCTGACTGGCTATAAGGAAAAAGAAATCACTCTGAAGATAATTAAGCACTAGAGCAGGCTGTTCAGAGTGGCTGGAGGTTTTAAAGACTCAACTGGACAAAACCCAGAGCAACCTGCCCTGAATTCAGTGTGGACGCTGCTTTGCGCAGGAGGTTGGACTAGGGACCTCTCAAGGCTCCTTCCAGCCTGAAGGATTCCACAGTCCTGTTTTTAGATGGAAAAAAGGATTTTTCGTGGTCCACAAAAAAAGACAAATCTGAATGGTGCGCTGACTAGTGATAACTGGAGATTGCAGTGGAGAACATCCTGATCACCATTCTTCTGCCCATCAAAACTATGCAAATATATAATCTGGTGAAAGTCTTTTTAGTGTAAGCTGATCCAAGACCAGTGGGCTTTTCCACGGTTCCTTATATCAAAATGGCAGACTAGCAGATGGATTAGGGAAAAAAGCAAAACCATTCAAGAGAGACAGCACAATGTATTTAAAAGATACTCAGTGGGTTTTACTTCGTACAAGCATACCATTAAGCGGGTGCCTTTGTCAATGAAAAGGTATTTGTTACAGTTTCTCAAACTTGTCATTTTCTTCATGTCGTCTTACATTGGGAAATTACAAGTATCTTTGTTTCCTTGACTTCCACCTATCTTGTTCATTACAGACTACATTTATTTTTCAGTGCTAGCTAGAGCATTGAATACTTGAGTTTCAGGGGCTATACTTTTACTCTAGCTCCTTCAATGCCAACAGTAATCAGGTGCTAGTTCATGAATGATGTTACTAAACAACTGTGGTACATAAACAGTACTTTCTTCGGATTTAAATAAAGTAATTCAAAAGGTGGCTATAACATTCCTTCAAAGAAGTGATCCTGACTCAGGGGTATGGAAGTTCCCAGGCTTTTAATACCAACGTTGTGTTACATTGTCTCATCCAGTCTCAGTGGCAATGCTAATATCTCAAAATCTGCTGACCAGAATGAGGAAAAACAGTCACCTATAAAGAATTCATTCTGATTCTGAACACATCCCAAACACCAAGAACATACAAGTTTAAAACATAATTGCATTGCTGCTTAATCAAAAATGAATCGGTGAAACCAATGACAAAGAGAAAGGAAAATACTAAAGAAAAATTTTTTCTGTGCGGCACATTAGAAACGAAAACAGCTGCAACAAGGAAATGCTGAAATGCTTGCAAACCATATTTGTGTGTCACTTAGAAATCTGATTTTGTTCAAAATGTATGGGAATAAAAAGGTAATGATACTGGCTTTGTAGTTTGCAAAGTATATTTTATCCAGAAGATTTTAAGTTAGAAATTCTCAGAAAAAAAATAAAGTCTTGTCAGGAAAAAATAATTAGGTCCTGGAAAGATGCAACACTGATACACTAAATGGACCAAAACTTCAACAAAGATTGCACCGTGTATAAAGTTGGATACTTCCGTTTGCTTAAGACGGCTTTATTTCAAGAGGTGTGGAACACCTTTATGGACTTCAACAAATCTGTCATAGTGAAAGAATTTAAAAAAAAATTGAAAGGCAAGTTGAAGAACACATTGTAGAAAACCTCACCACCATTTCCTGCCTCTTACACCTGAATAATAGAAAAGGGTTGATAATATGTTTTGCAGTAATTTATTTTTGTTTTCCTTCTCATTTCAATATACTTGCATCTAAGTTCTAAATATCCCCGCACAACCCCATGGTTGGAAGGGGATTCTGAAACCTGCAGCCTTTATCTACCTTTGATTCCAACGAAGGACAAAGACAAAGAGCACATCTAAGACAGAGGGGTAAAGACTACTATTTCCTTTACCTTGAACTGTCATGTCACCAGTGGAAACCGTATGTCAGACAATACAAACCAAAACCATTCACATATACGCACTAATTTTACAATTGAATAGAGAACAAGACTAATATTAATCATGGGTTCATTCAAAATTTTTCTTTAGAAATATTTTCGTAAGATCTGGATTACTGATGGAGCAACAATTCTTAAGAGTAAATACTTTCACAAGAACATACACCCTTTTGTCATTGACTCAAACTCAACCGATCCAACTCTGAAATATTTAAATTTAACAATATTCTAAATTTCCTGAACACTGGCATGAAAATTTCTCCTTTGGTTATATTCCTCTTCCTCTCAAATAACACAAACAGCTAAAACCTATTCATCAGCAAAGCTAAACAAGCTTACACCAGAGGAGGAGCTGCACAAACTTCTCTAAAGTTCCAACTTCTTGAAGACAACAGGATTACAAGTGAAAATTTTGATCCCATTTGTCTTTGCAAGACTGAGGATTATGGCATTTCATTGTGCTAGCAGTTGGAATTAGTATTTAACATGTGCTTTCAATAATTTGTTTTTAAAACAGAATTTTATAAACAAGGAGTTTCTTTAACCAAAGAGTCTTATAAGAACAAGCATTTTCTAAATCAAAGCTTCTCCAAAGTCAAGTCTGGTAATCTGGCAGTAATTTGGTCCCAGTTTTTCATTATTAGCAGTACTGTCTCCTCTCCCAGAGGCATTTTAGGGATGCTTTTGATTATTTTTCCCCCCTTCAGTTGGGTATCAGGATACTTACAAGCATAATTAATTCATACTTCGGACTCTCAGGATTATGAAGTATTACAGGATGGCAGTGCTAAGACAAAATGCTCTAATTCACCAGCTGTCATGTATTTAATTAGAGATTTTGATGAATCCTTCCTACTTATGAGCCTTCATACTTTGTGTTCTATTTAAAAACAAAGAAAGGAAGAAAGAGAGAAGGAAAAGACTCCTCAGCACAAGGACTGTATGCCGGCTGACGGCACGAGGCCTCGTGCGCGCCGCGAGCGGGGAGGAGCGGGCAGCCGGCTCCCGGCGGAAGCAGGCGAGCTTCGTGCCTTTCCACCCTCTCCTCTGCAGCAAAAGGCAACAAGGCGCGTTTTGAGCCATCCAGCTGTTCACGAAGGTTAAATCGACAAACTCTTCCCTTTAAGACGACAAGGGAAATTTCAGTGTTGCGTATTCCATACTCAGTAAGAACACTCAACACGGATTAAAGCTGGAAGTCACAGGCAACCGTTGCGCACATCACATTAGCTTTAGCTTGCAGAACAAGCGTGAAAGATGAGAGGTAAAAGAACTGATTCTTCTCATTCATGCTCATTTAAAGCTACGCTTTAAACATCATTTTTGTATGTAAATTTCTCTTGCTATAATAGTAATATATACTGCAGAGGCTACAATAATATTTTCAGTAACACTATGTACATAAATAAAATATTTATGTGACACTGTAACAAGGTTAACATTGTATAAATATTTTAACTTTTGCATTTTTTTAAACAGGTAATATAGTATCGAACATATATGATAAATCCTTGAAGTAGAGGAAACATCCTGACTACAATTTTATTTTGAATCTTGTTTCTTTTTCTCAGCATGCGCATTAACTAAGCGATTTCATGACTGGCCTTTCTAAAAATTTTCTATTATGTTTTGGTTTGGCAAGCTGCACTTGATCCATTTCTGTCACAGGGCCTAAAGACACATGAGAGAGACACTGCCAGAAGGAAAATCTTTAGAGAGAGCACGAAGAAGACAGGGAGACTTTTAAGAAACTTAACTGCTGTGCTCATTTCGTTCTCCCTGATTAAATAGCCCTGGCAGCATAATGCAAGGCGGTTCTCGATGGACTACGTGTTCTTACCTTAGGTTAGGCTACGGATTAGCATTGTCCGTCTCTGCTCCCACTGAAGTCAATGTATGAGTCAATATTATAAAGGAAAAATAATGCTGACAAACATTCAAAACTGCAATATTTCCTTGTTAAGAGAGAAGGCAAAAAAAAAAGTGTAAGAATTGTCTTTTAATGTGTTTCTCTGAAGTCAAAATACAATAATTGCGGAGCAAGTGCAAATAGGTACTATTTTTCTGGTTGATGCTTAAAATAAGATGTCTTATAGGGTTAGTAGAAGGAGTTAAAAAGAAATCTTTGAGGTTTATGATCCTTTTAAGATGAACTCCCTGCAAAAATTATTCACCCAATTACCAAGGCTTTGTAAATAAGACTGGCAGCGCACTACAGGCCCTGTAGAAATTGGATTTGCAATTCTGCGAATAATCTGAGGTTTCCATTTGGGGAATTCGGTCGGTGCAGGCAGCAATACAGTTCCTCCTCCTCTCTCCCCCTTCCCCATAGGGCACAGTGGCACGGAGAGGCTCGAATACTGATTTCTGCAGAACCAAAAATGTTGACAGCTTGGTGCTTATCTATATGGCAGCCTGCCAGGCTTCCCAGCTCCGCGGTGCCCTCGGCCGCCTGGCACGCAGGCACTGCGTCGCTGGCAGTCCCCGGAGCCAGCCACCAAGGGGCACGGGCAGCCCGGCCCCTGGGAGGTGCCTGCTGGGCTGAGCTATCCCACCGCTCCGGCTGGGAGCAAGAAAAATGAGAACGAGCCAAACTATCTGCCAGAAATTGCTGTATTGGGCTTTACTTCTGGAGAACAACTCTCCCCAGGACAGAACCTCCCAGTTGCATGCACCGATTTGGAATCATTTACTGTATTTAGGATGCTCCAGAAAGACTTTTCATAAGTCATGCTTTCGTAAGTCACTGCTACTCCTTTTCCTGCACCAATACCACATGCAGTGTTCTTCGTAGATCACTGTATCCCATATAACCATGTATTTTAATATTGCCCTAAAATATCGTTTCTTGAAGAATTATCACTCCCCCTTCTCTTCCTCACCTGCTCTTTCCCCTTGTCCACGCATGCAAACCAGCAGCGCTAGAACAAGACAGTTTATTATACCTTAAAATGAACAAATGTGCAATTTGTTCTCATGATGCAGTTGGTAATTTGCATCACAAAAGTACTAGATCTCTCAAAAATTCTTTGACAGACGTGGCATTAAAAACTCTCTGTTAGTATGTCTGAAGACTAATCTGACTGATAGCCCTTTCGAAGGAAACCGTGGCCCCCGTTAGCTCGCGCACAGTAGACAGTGCTACCAGAAACCATGAATAAATAACTGTCTTCAGTTTTTGTCACCGCTTCCAAGAGATATTTGAAATGCACAACTTTGACAGAATTATACTTGTTAAATCAAAAATAAGACAATATTTTGCAATTCTGTTATTACTTATCTGAGCTACGGGCAGCTATCCAAATATAAAAGTTTTGCAATAGAGTTTGCAGTATCTCCTCAGAGCAAACTAAACCAAACATTAAACATATTTCAGCATTTTTTGAATCAGGGTCAGGATCCTCTACCAAGCCGAGAGACAGAACTACCAAAATTTGTTTCCTATGGTACATCACAGCTAAAAGGACATAGCACGCCTGCATGCACCCTCTGCTTCTCTATACGTAGATACACAAAAAGATTCAAGCTCAAGACAGGATCCTTACGAGAGCTAGAAAGTTCATTAGATAACAATACATTTTTTTATAAAGGGAATATATTCTACAACTTAGCTGTGCTTGAACAAGGCGGCTATTGGGGAATACTGTACTTTGTTTGAAAAGCATATGCTATGCAGTTTCTGTGAATAAACATATGCAAAAATTGCCTTTTTATAATTCTTTCAGGTTTTATTGGAGTATATTTTTGATTAACATTTTTCTCTGAAGTGTAATAAACAAAACCCTGCTGGACCAAAACTTTTTGCTGTGCTATCCCAAAAATAGCATGCCATGAGCGCGCCTGTCTGCATCTGATGCGCTTACAGAATAACAGATTAGCTGATGCTCCAGAAAAAAAAGGAATGTGTCTTTGAAGAAATAGATGAGATGGTTATATGCATGATCACAAAAAGACCTTAAAAATGCACATAATGAATTTTGCGATTTGTAAAATCCTGACTCTGTAAATAATAATGAGTTTATGCATAAATCATAATCAGAAATATTTATGACAAAACTCCCATTCAAAAATAAAACAGACAAATGTCTTTAACCTAATGAAATTGCACCGTAAATTATTTCCAAGAGCATTCCAATGTCAAGGTAACTCACTTAATTACCCATTACCATAGAACTGTAGACATAATGTTAATTAAAATGAAGGGGCAAAACCATTTCCATTTTTTATTCAGATCCATTGGCCTCTTGAACGGCCATTACCCTTGCTGTCGGGGTTAGGTGGAGGGCAACACTTGCCCTGCT